CGTCTTGGGTGGCCCTGCACGGTATAGCTCATGGCTTCACTGAGTTACACAAGCCCCTTCACCATGACAAGGCAGTGATCCATGAAGGGGTTTGTAAAGTTACTTTTTGCAAAGTAACAGAATCTTGCAAGTCTGAAAATACAATTCTCCTGTCATCTCCTTTACAGCCCAAGAAACTAGGGAGGGTCCCTTCTGAGCCTCTTGCCCTACCCACAATCCAGCTGCGGGCTATGCTGTCTCTTACCTGACCGACCGTCTCTTGGCCCCGTCTCCCAAGGATTTTCCCACATACCATTACAGGTGCACAGCATGAGTTGAGCCCAGTTACCATAAATGCAAACAGATACTTGTCATATTTGAAGTAAAAGCTAGATTTATTAAGAAATAAATAGGGTACTTCTACCTAAACTATATGTTGAAGAGAGAGGGGAATCCAAGAGAGAGACATGTTCCTTTATTTTTTTCTTAAATACTAAAACTATAACAATAGACCAGTACATACACACACACACAGAGTTATCCATTTTACATCATGTGCCCAAGGACCAGAGGAAGAAGAAGTAAAGGGAGAGCTCATGGCCCAATCTCAACCCTCTTATATATATAATCAGAGTGGTATATGCAGTCGACCTTCCCTGAAGAGCTCAGGTGTTATTTTATGTCATATCTCTAGTTCCAAAGTTGTACAGTATATGACTTGCATGACAATTTCTCTATTTTTATTGCAATATCCTTCTTAATCCTATCTTAAACTTACCCCAACCACCAGCAAGCAGGACATGGTTAGTTTTGTGCTATATTGGGACTCACCAGACCTATGTAGGCAGATCTTATCTGTGGGGTTCAAACCCTCTATCAGGAATTGAGGTTACGGACCTTCACACTTCAGATATATGGTACATTAGTGTTAGGAGCTATCCAGGTCCTGGTTGCAGGAAGGAATCTACCAGAACACCCTTCTTATAAGTCTGTTAAGACATTGCAAACGTGTGACAGGCATGGAGTTTGGGGTGCACTGATGTGACATTCAGCTTTTTGCATTTTGACAAAAACCTTCAATCCTGCAGACACTCATGTCAAATGGTGAAAAGCTCACAGAAGCAAAGAAATGATAAAATCAACACAAATTCCAAGTTCCTCCTGGTTGCCATGAACAACACTAACTGTGGTTTGTTTTTGCAATCATAAACCCAATTTCCTTGTCCTCTGAGTCAGATTCTTCCATAAAAAGAAACGTTAGTCTGGTTGGATGCCATTTTTAAGATTTCTCCCAATTATGGCGATGTAATCTATGGTTCTCCAACTCTAACAGCACTTTCAGGCCCTGCTTCATTTATACAGTAATTTTGATTGGGAGGGGGGGAGGATTTATTTCACATATCTGAATAAGGCAATCTTGGGCATCTTTGAGTATGAATTACTAAATATATATGCTGCAGACCTCATACAGCAGCAGCTTACAGCAATGTATAGCATCGCAAAATAATCACACTGACCATAAAAGTCACTATCATAAATCTAAATAAGATGACAAATTCACTATATAACTGACCACAAGCCCTGTAAAAATATCACATTAAGGCCCCCTGAAGTTGATATTCTTATTTTCCAATATAGCACTCATTTTTAAGACAGAATGAAAAATTAGGGATATATTTAATACAGAATTATTCAGAAAATAAAATGAAAAACAGTGCTATCTCCCTAAATCCATTAAAGACTTATTTCCAATAATAGGCAAGCTACTTCTGCAGCTGGAGGCAGGGATCGGGGTCAGAACAAGGCTAGAGAAGATCATATAGGTTGCTTGAAAACCAGTAGGCATTCTTGAAAATCTAGGATAATCCTGTGGTGAGTAATCTGTGTCACATTTTTAGGTCCTTCGTGGTGGTCCTCACGCTGCTGAAGCCAAAGTGCAAGTGAAGAAAATTTAATCCAGCATCAGTGAACAACCCCAGGGGATTGTCAGAACCACAGAACTAGAAGGAAGAAGAAAGATGCCAGAGATGCCAGCCTGCCAATCTAGCATACTCCTGGGCTGAAATTCTGGGACTTGTGGCTCCAACACGGCTGACCAGCTTCACGTGGGGACTCACTTCTGATCCAGGTAATCATTCACATGTCATTCCACTATATCTGAAAGTATAAACGATCCAGAATAGGATGAGCTAGAAATAGACAAGCTACAAGGCAGAGAAATGGAAAGGGATCTAAAATAAAGAGTTGGAAGTCACTTTAGAGGTCACATACACCAACCCCCCATCCCCCCTGCTCAGTGCAGGATCCACTAAAGCATCTCTGAAGACAACCATCTAACTTGTTCCACTGGCTGACGACTCATATAGTCAGGAGGTTTCTCCTGATGCCTAGCCTCAACCTCGTTTGTAGTTTTAACCCACAGGTCCTACCCACTGGGGCAAGAGAGTATAAATTCATTCCATCTTCTGTGTGAATCCTTCTGATATCTGAACCTGAATCCTCTTCCCTCAGTCATCTCTTCTGTAGGCTAAACACATCCATTTCCTTCAGCTGGTCCTCATAGGGCTTGGTTCTGCTTATTTGGAACCTGTACTTTAGTCACTGCACCCCCAAGATTGCATTTGCCTCTTTTGTAGCTGCATCACACTGCTGGCTCATGATTAAGTTGTGTCAAGAACTCCAGGTGGGAATCCAAGGCAGGGAGTCCAGCCAGAGATGGGAGGGCATATTGCAAAACCTATAGATGCATCGACCAGGCTAACGGGAAGGAAAAATCCTTCCAAGAGACTCAAATGCAGCTGTTGCTGAGTGAAGTTCACTCAGGAAAGAGCCCCAGTAGAATTTAACAGGTAACATTTTTTTTCTCTCATCCAAGACATACCTTGGTTTCTTTAATTAGTGAATTGTTGGGGTGACAGGGAAAGAAATGTCTGATGTCTTGCAATCGCTTCTCCCATATTTAAGATGAAAATGGGTAGGGCAATATTCTCACTTACCATTGCCAGAAGAAGCAGATTCTTGGCTGTTCCCTGCAAATCAAAGAAGGAAGGCAGGAACGTCAATACGGCCAAATGGAGAGTGGACTGCGCTCTCCCCGACCCATCCTCTCCCATTTGCACAAGAGGGTACTTTAGCTGCCCATCTGTTTTGTTTTGGAGGACAACAGCCTGAGGAAGATTATTCTACAGTGCTGTTTGCTTACTCCAGAAACTCTCCAAAGTTGAAATTCCTCCCCCTTAAATATTATGTAGATCAATTGCTTCTCCCCCAGACCCAAGTCCTGTGGAACTTCTGTGGCTACATCACTAACATTCATTCACTGGTGTGAACTTCACTCAGAGAAGACAATTCTCCACTGTGTCCACCAACTGGAAGAACTCATCAGCCTACAGATGGGGCAGGACTCAATGGCACAGGAGCTCCTTCGTTGGCCAGGAAACTCTGGGAAGCTTATGATTCTTCCCCACGTAGTTAATCATTTTTCTCTTTGGTTATATAGCATGTTCTCATTCCATAGAAGGTAGAAAGGACCAGTGATGTCATCTGGCCAAATTCCTGCCCAGCATAGGATCCACTAGAGATGATTACCCAACCTCTCTTTGAAGACCTCTAGCAAAGGAGAACTCATCACATCATATGGCAGCCTGTTCCACTGACTGACAGGTTTTATAGTCAGAAAGTTCCTCTGATTTTTAGCCTGATCCTCCTTCCTTGTAGTTTTAATTAACTGGTTCTGGTCCTGCCCTCTGGAGCAACAGAGAATAAGCATCATTCCTTCTTCTGTGTGACACCTCTTCAGAGATTTGAAGACTGCTATTCTGTCCCTCCTTGGTCATCTTTTCTGGAGCCTGAACATCTCCAGATCCTTTAACTATTCCTCATAGAGCTTGGTTCACCATCTTTGCAGTCCTCCTCAGAATGTGGACTAATTTGTCACTATTTCTTCTGATGGCTGCTTTGAGGTGGGCTTTTTGGGGGCTATGCACAGTGCCACCCACAGTGGGGGATCAAAATCAGCAAAATGGCAGACAGAGCATTGCAAAGCAACCCCCCTCCCCGCTTCTGAACATGGGCCCAATATGATGCAGGTACAGAGGCGTGCATTGTCATGCTCTGTCCATCATCTTTGCCAATTTTGACCCCTCCCTGTGAGATGCTACTGGATACACCAGAAGGCTGGAGAGGGGCCCCCTGGGTATCTCATCTTTCACTTCCTGACCCACATGCTGCCACGGACGCATTCTGTTTCAGAGAGGCTGTGGTCACTTACTTGATGCAGCTTGGTAGCCCTTCCGGCATCTTTCTGCAAACACAAACAAAAGGTTAGATCCAAACCTTTTGAGCCCTCTAGGAAGGGCCGGGGAAGCTAATTTTTTATCCAGGCCTTATACAGTTTTAGGGATTTGCCTTTAACTGACTGGCACCTTATCTAGCCTGCAAAGATACCAGATGACCCCCAGGTGGCAGCAAAGAGGTACACAGAAATTTAATTCTGCCATCTTATGGGGACACTGAGTTTTGCAGCCTAAATATCATAGCCCTAGTTTAATTTTGAGAGCCAGATTAGGATAATGGTTAAGGTACCAGGCTAGAAATTGGGAGACTCTGAATTCTAGTCCCACCTTAAGCACAGAACCAGCTGGGTGACCTTGGGCCAGTCCCCATCTCTCAGTCCTAGGAAGCAGCACAGGCAAACCACTTCTGAAAAACCTTGCCAAGAAAACTACAGGGACTAGTCCAGGCAATTGCCAGGAGTCAATGCTGATTTAAAGACACCCCCGTCCCTCAAAGTTTAATTTTAACTTTCAGCTTATAATGATGAAATGGTGTAGAGTTTTATGTATCCCATACATGGATTTTTGTAAGCCATCATAATTGATAATCAATAAAAATCAACAGACAGTAAACCAGTAATTAATTGGCTAGGCGGGTGACCAAATGCTCAGCAGACTAAGAACCATCGATCCAACACTCAGCAGAACCAGAAGCTTTGAAGGCTAAGATTGGGAGCGTTCCCTCACTTGGAGAGGCCAGGGGGCTCAAAGGATGGGGAACAACCACCGAGAAGGTGGGCCTTGCTTACATCTTGTAGGGTACGGGCTCTCAGCAGTCTATCTCTTCAAGTTTGCACTGGGTGGGCCGAGTCTGGACAGGAGAGATGGTCCTGGAGGTACCTGGATGCCTTTTGGATCCAGAAGAAGCTTTCACAACCAACATGTTCTTCTGGATCCCAAAGCAAACTTGTAAACCACCAGGTAGCAGATGAACTGCCACCATTGAGTGATGTAGGAAGCTTTGAAGGAGACAGAACCACAGTACCTCTTGCTTGCCCCTTTATGTTTAGAGACTTGCAGGACTAATACATGGGCAGATTTCGTTGGGGATCGCTTTGCTCAGAGATCCACGTTTGGACAGTGTGGGTTGGATGCTATGAGCTTTGGGCCCTGCCCATTACAAGAAAAGGGTTTTTCTGAGAGAGTGTGAGGGAGGCTGAAGTTGCCACAAGAACCTTCTACCAACAGGAAGAAATCTCCATTTACTTACTGGTGTAGAATATGATCCCAGTTACCATCAAGACAGCAGCAGCTAGAGCACCTAGGACACCGCCCACGATGGCCCCTACTGCAGCTGAAATTAGGAAAAGAGCATAATGGGAGAAGTGGCTACAGGTGAGGATGCAGGAGGGTCACCAAATTAGCCAAGTGAATGAAAGCAATACTGGAAAATTAGCTCCAAAGTATCTTTCCCTCTTGGAGCTGGATAAAAGGTTGTGTGCAATTTCCCTTGCCTGCAGCTTTGTCTGGCATTTCAGCAACTGCCTGAAACTGAAAGTGATTTTTTTCAAAGCAAGATTCTCATGCAGTTTTCTTTAGCAAGATTTATTATGATGAAAAGAGCTATGAGCGTTCCAGCAGCTGAACTGGTTCCCACATAGAACTGATCTCCCCCCATGTGCGTTACAGCAGAGACTGTCTGATTTTCTTTCTCACAAGTAGAACGCAGTTTAGAATGGTTGTTAGAAAATCAGAAAGTCTCCGCCATAATGCATACAGGGAGAGATCAGTTCTAAGTGGGAACCAGTTCAGTTGCTGGAATGCTGGTAACCTCTTTCATCTTCACAAGGAGAACTCTGAGAATTGTACCTGGAAAATAGTCATTCTTGGTTAGAGGCACCTGTCACGAAGCCTGGCAAAATAAAACCCTGGTTCTGAAAATTTCAGATCTGCTCACTTTAATATCTCGAGTCATGTGCTCTGCAGCCACCAGGCAGGAGAAAAGAAACAGGATGAAAAAGGTTGCCATCTCTAGTCTGAACCCAGTATCTGTTAGTATATGTGGGGAGAATCCCAAGAACAATACCCCACAAATAAGGCTGAAAATGCACTCCTTGGCATCCATGTGCCCCCCCCCATTGCAATCACTCACCAGGCTTCTCCCAGGTGAAATCCTGTGGGTCCAGAAGGCCATCATGCTCCACATGACATTTATAATGCTCCCTGTCCTTGGGGTCAATCTCGATACTGATCCAGGTGTGGTAGGTCCCGTCTGAGTTGGGGGTGGTCCCACCCCGGAGGGTCTCCTGCTCCAAGATTTCCTCACCCTTCCTCCAAGTGACATCAATTTCTTTGGGGTAGAAGCCATGGAGCCGACAGATGAGGGTCTCAAGCCTGTTGTAGCTCCCTTTCTGGGTGACCTTTACCACCGGGGGCTCTGCAAAAATTGAAATATTCTTGATAATCAGCCAAATGAATGCTTTAGACTCAGGAGGCAGGGTCTGTAGATCCAACAGGACTCCAGATTCCATCCAGCCCAAGTAGCACGGCCAACAGTGAAGGACGATGAGCACTGCAGTCCAACACCTTTGCCTACTGTTGCTGAATACTGTATCAGAAGCAGGATTGGACCATTCCTGGCCATCTGCTCCAGTCTGTCCTGGGCAGGAGGCCCAAAACTCCAGAGTTTGAACCTCACTGTTGTGGTCCTTAAGCCTTACCTTCTTAGTCCATTTGTATATTCAACCAAGAAAGCTCAAATCCTAAACAGCACAAAATTTAGTTGGTGGGACCTTAGTGAACATCTAGTCCAACCTCCCGTTCAATGCCAGATCCACTAGAGCATCTCTGACAAATGACTATCCAGCCTCTCTCTGAAGACCTCTAGCGAAGGAGAGAGCAGCCTGTGGCAGCCTGTTCCACTGGCTGACGACTTGTACAGTCAAGAAACTGCTCCTGGTGCCTAGCCTGAACCCCCTTCCTCAGGGTTCTCACCTATTTGTGCAGCATCTTCATGTGTCCAAAGGATTTCACACTTTCCCTACCGAACTATAATCACTGAATCACAGAGGTGGAAGGAATCCTTGAGACCACCTATTCCAATCCTGTCCTCAGTGCTGAAATCCAAATTAAATCATCCCTAAAAGATGGTTGTTTAGCTTTTGCTTGAACGCCTCTCTGGATTATTGGTCCCACTGTTAATATTGTGACCCTAAGGTGTCACCACCGCATCCCACACCCCATCACCTTTTCTGAGTAGGGTCTCCTTGCCATAATTCAGGTATTTCTGTAGCCACTCAATGCAGTCTCCTTCCAGGAAATTTTTTCGCCCCTGGGTCCAGACCAGGTCGGCCTCCCACCTCCTCTTGGTCACCTGGGCCCGCCAGTCGGCTGCCGTCCAAGTGAGGGTCTCTTTATCCAGGCTGAGAAAGTCTGTTCCATCATAGCCAAACTGGGAACTGCCATCCTTATGTCCATCTTGGCGCAGCTCACACCCGTGCATCCACTGCCAGGTGTGAAAGCCTGCAAGACACACCTTGGTGAGATTTGCATTGCTCAATATCAGAGAGACAGTGGGAGGACTGCAATGTACCACAGAGATCATCTAGTCAAACTCGACCTAATTCAGCCCTTCATGGTAGGCATAGTCAAGAAAAAGGCACCAACCACAAGGATTTCGGGTATTATTTTTGCAGGGTATGGTAACAGAATCTTGAAAGCTTGTCCAAGTTCCTCTCTGCCCTCCCTTATACTAAGCAAAATCAAGGCGAGGTTATTCTCAGTTTCTTTCTCACACTTGTTTCAATCCCTGGACAGCAAAATCTCTTATCCAAGTTCCTTTTAACATCTCCCTCCCTCCTGCCCCAAGGTCAGTTCTCAGATGCCTTTACGCCAGCTCAGCGCAAGAATCCACTATACAGAATCCTAGATTGCGAGGGTTGGAAGGGACCTCCGAGATCATCTAGGTGAGCCCCTCCCTGATGGATGTGCAGCACGGCAACTCCTACCTCCCTGGCACTCACCCGGGGTGTGGTTGAAGCGGTTCCAGAGGCTCAGTTGGAAGTAGAGTTCCCAGCTGCGGGAGAGCTGAGTTTGCCACTCCCAATATTGGGCATCATCTTCCTCCAACTTCTGAATCCAGGAGCCGCGCGGCAGGTCCCTCCGGGAACTGCTGTCGTAGTGGACAAACTGCTGGTCATCCAAGTAGCCCACAATGACAAACTGGGGCAGGCCTTGGTCTTGTTCTGACATGCCAGTGAAGAAATAGCGCAGGACGTGGGAAGAGGCGGCTAGCGGAAGAAAGAAGATCTTCAGTGAGCATCCTTTGCTGCTGAATTTAATTCTGCAAATGCTGCCGCACATAGAAGACGCCTGAGCAGAGCTGGCACGGTGGAGCGGTTGGACGAGGAGCAGGGAGACCTGTGTTCAAGTCCAGCCTCAGACAAAGGGGGGTCTGCAGGGTGTGGTCAAAAAAGTCAAGAGGGCAGCCATGATGATGCAATCGAAGCTCTGCCCATTTTTATGAGTGTCGTGATGTACAATAGGCTTGCCTGTGGTTGACCTGCTAATTGGGGGCCACACAACATGCTAGACTACTAAAACAGGTTTGGGGAGTTTGCAGGTCGGCATGTGGGAGGAAGCCGGTGTCTGTTTTAGGGGGTGTGCCAAGCAGGCCATCACTTTAAGCCAGAACATAGTGGCAGAGAACAGCTGGGTTCACGGTTTCCCATACTTTAGCACAACCCATAAAAGCTAAACTAATCTCCTGACCTTTTGGGGCAAACCTTGGGGAATCAGATAATTAAGGCCTCTTGGAGGTGCATTTGCCCATTGGGAAAATCTTGGTTCACTTGTTTCTGCAAGGGTGACCCTAAACTGGTTCCCGAGTTAAGGGTGCCGCGCAGAGCCAGGCTATGTTTCCAGGACACTACGTAGCCCCCACCCCAGGCCGCTCTTCCCGGTAGATCTGATGGGACTACAAAGCTTCAAACGACCGCTGTCAAGCCGCAAAGCCCAAGTCCCCTTGGAATCGGACGGCAGGGTGGACCCGGCCAGTCACGTGAGAGGGAGGAAGGCTCCGTCCACAGCGCTGGGGAATTCCGAGCTGCGTCAAAAGCGCGAGTTGCCGGCGGCAGCGCCCTGCGGAAGGCTAGCGGAGCAAGTGGAAATGCCGCCTGAACCCTGTTAGGCAGGCACGCGTGACCTCCCCGCTCAAGAAGAAGAAACCTCTCCCCGCTCTGCCCCGCGTTCTTGCCGGGACCCCCTTCTCTTCCCGCCTTAGACATCCTCCTCCTCCTCCGCCTCCGCCTCCAGGATGCAGCCCGCAGCCTCGCTCTGCAGGTTGAACTCCAACGCCCACCGCGTCCGGCTGCTCCGGAGCTCCCCGTGGCGTGGCAGGAGGCCGATGAGTGGACCCGGGGCTACTCTGGCAGCGACCCCACGTGCGCCCT